TAAATTAACACTTTTAGAAGAAAAAATAGACCTTCGACTCTCTTGTTGCAGTCTATTGCTCAGCCTTGTTAGTTGTGCACTGAGTTGCTCTGGCGTATTTCCTTTGCAGCCTCCTAGAGTTTCAATATCTGTCTCGGAACATATGATAGAAGCTTTTTTGTAGCTTTCCTGAAATTTAGTAAATCGGTTTTAAGGGCTTAAGAGGTAAGTAATGCAATGCAACTCTCCAGAGTTGTCTCAGTGACAGAATTATCTGACATCCAAGGTCATATCTAAGTTCATAAGATGTGTAGAGAGAAAATTATTAGGATACAATAAACATATGTACAACTATTTTAACTTCAAGGACCCTAGTAGGTCCCTTCTCACAATCTGAGTTGCCTAGGTGTCAAGTCTAAAAACATACGATGAATATAGTCTTAGATATAACCAGATTACGGGTTGGAAAAAATTTTCCAACTCCCAATCCCGAATCAAGATTTTATCACAACCCCAACTTAGCCGGGACGGAATCAAGATTCATTTTTAATATAAGTACGGATCCAGACTGAAATAAGAAAAAAATCCTCACAATTTTGATATTTTGTTGCAATGAAAATTGACAAACTTTGACTGTTGCACCCAAAATTGACAAACTTTGACCATTATTTATATAAACTTGATATTTGATATTGATACAAAAATAATTTTATTAGATTTATCTTGTAAAATATATAAATAATATTATTTTATGGGATTAATATACCATATAATTTTTATTTGATTATAGATCAAAGGAATTAACTCAATCTATGCATTGCAAATATACAAAATAGCTGTGTTACAATTTTATAAAACAACAAAATGATTTTTATTTTTTTAACAATTTCACATTTAGAACAGTAAAATTATTGTTTATTTGTTTTTGGTTACTTTTCAATTTTCGTTTAAGCATTTAAGGCCTAAAACGCCAATTCAAACATGTAAGGGGTATATATGCACCATAGGGTTAATTTGCACCTAAAAAATCTAGGGTTTATCACTTTATCCGTGAGCTATAAACATTAAAGGTGTGTTTGTGCCTTTTCCCAAAAACATACCTTACGGCTATGCTCAAGTTCCTGATATTCTTTCTCCACTTCCTTGAGCTCTGTTAAGACTTTCACTTGCATGAGGTTTTCATAATGGTTGTACTTCTAAATAACAAAATGTGGATTGCAATCAACATGGGAATTCCAATTGAGAAAATCAGATGGAAAGAAAACTTCAAAAAGAAAAGAGGTATGCATGTAGGGATAAGCTTGACCATTTTAGCATCATCTAGATACTTATCTATCTTCATCAACTCCCCTTCTGCATTTTCCAAGGCATCAATGTCCACTTTTGCAGACTCTGCATTATTAACATTGCCGCATTTGGTGTATGTTGTGATATAGCCAAATTAATAATTTTAGAGAGCCAAAAATTGTGGCATACCACAAATATTTTTAAGCAACATCTTAAAATGATTTCTTTTGGTTTCTGCTTCATTTACTCTCAGTTGGATTTGTTCCAGTAACTTTCTCTCTTCTTGAATCTCATCAACGATTTTCTGGATGTTAGTTTTAAAAAATATTAAATCTGAATAGTGAGTACTACTTCCTACGGAACAAACAAAAAATGAAAATGAAATTAAAACAAGTCAATAACTAGAGGAAATGTTGAGTTTATAATTTTGGATAAGAATGTATTGAAGTAAACACCGATTCTTCCTGAAGAAGTTCATCACTCGACGTAATGGTTGTGCTAGTTACTGCAAAATTTGACTTCTTAGCATCTTGCAAACGGAAATCCTTAGACTGCCAGTCTCGCTCAGCATCAATACGCCTTCTCTATATAAATCAAACAAGAAAATAGTTACAACAGTATATCACTCATTAAAAATAGAAGTACTCATGGATCAGTGATATCCATCTTTTTAAAGTAGGAAACTTATCTGTCATTAGTCGTACAATGGTACCTCAGAAGTACCACGAGTCTTAAAAAAATATGAAACATTTTTGTATAGCCAAACTATATATCCATGTAAAGTATGTATGTATGTGTGTGTGTGTGTTGAAATAGCTTTTTTCACCTTATTATTGCATGAAAAATGTTCGTTGAATTAAACTAAACTGATGCCGCCAGCTGACTGACATTTAAAACAATCAACACTTTGATAAATCATACATTACACATACAAAGTAAAGACACAATAAAAGCTAATAATGAGTACATGGCGTTGTTAGTTTTTTACGCCATTGGAAGAAGCACGCCATCAGCTCCTGTACATCTTACTATTTACTTGTTGCACTACACATACAAACTTGTAGAACACTGAAATCTAAACCTGCAGGCCCATCAATGTCAGCAGCCACGTCAGCTTTTAGAGCATAAGTGCAAGGGTCGTGGCATGTCATGAAATCAACCCTCCATACTTTTTAACCAAAACCTCAAGCCTGTTACTGGCCAGCTTCTGCACATCTTCCATGTGCACCAACTCTCATTTATGCCCTGAATTCTCCCACAACTTTTTTGTCTCACAAGTTTCCTCAGCCACCACCACTTTCAGCTGAACCCCAAGCGATGCAAAGACACTTTAGCCCCTCCAATCCCGTTGTAGATAGACAGGATTCACAATCCCTCTGGATACAGTGATTTCAAGGTGGACAGATGATATGCCAGTGTGTCCGTCTGAAAGCAGTTTTTCAAGAGCTGGAGCCTGTCTGCCAGTGTGGAACCAGCAGTTGGGTATGCTTTCTTGGATATCATTGCCCCCAAGCAGTTTGGGTATGCTTTGTTCGGATATCTTTGGCATCTTCTCTTTCAAAAGATCCAGCAATTCGAGTGGCAAGTTTGGAGTCCACTAGTTCAGTGACAGGAGCTTCTCTGCCAAGCTTTCTCATTGCAAGATTAATTTCCTCTAAAGCGAAATCCATTGCCTCATCTCTTTTTCCATCGATTCATCCCTCCTTCAACTTTCATCTTCTCAAATCTACATCGCCATCTTCTTCTTCAATTTTTCCATTCGACACAGCTCATTTTCTTAACGATATTTGCAGCGACAGTGGTAATTGAAAATCTGATGGTGGCGGTAACAGAGTAAACAGTGGTTACAGACTCCGTCTTTTCCAATTTCAGATCTTTACTTTTATTTGTCAAAACTGTTAGTGAAGATAGTGTCTGTGTAATAAACAATTAAACAATATGAGGTTAAAAATCCATTGTTTATTTACAATTTGGGGTTCAATATTCATTCTCGATCTCTACTTTATTCTTCAAAACCCAAGTATGGAGGATGGAGGTGACGAATAAAGGTAACAGGGACGGAGGCGAGGAAGAGGGAAGAAAGAGTGAGGGGCATTATGGGAATGTCAACACAAATCTTAACTTTTCATAACATCTGTGCTCAGTTAAAGCGGGAAAGAATTTAATGAGAGGGAGTGTGTGTGTGTGTGTGGGAACGACTCCAGTGAGATGACACAACGGTGAGATGACATGGCATGACACAATGTGAGCAACTCAAATGCAATGTGGCATTTTGTAATATTGTCATCTTTTGAAATGGGTGGCTCACACTGAATTATCACAGCATTTGTCAAAATCTATCAAAATCCAAATAGAATATCCTCTGATTTTAAATTATTTTTTAAAATCTCAATTGAATACACACTGAGTTTTAAAATCCAAAAAGATTCATAAGAGCGAGTCACACCCAATACCTAGGAGAGACAAGTTTTGGAATCATGGTTTGGTCATTCAGATGGGAGAATAGACGGGGATATTGCTCACCATATGAGAGCTGCTTGGGCAAAGTCGAAGCTGGCTGCAGGAGTCCTCTGTGACAAGAAGATTTCAGCAAATATGAAAGAGAAGTTCTACCAGTTATCAGATCGACTATGCTTTACAATGCGCAGTGTTGGGCAGGTTAAGATAACCCACATTTGTCAACTACATGCGGCAGAGATGCGGAAGGTACGGTGGACGTGTGGGCGGACGAAATTGGATAGGATCCAGAACAAGTTCATGCAGGGACAGATGAGAGTGGCACTTGTGGAGTAAGTTTCAGGAAGCTAGGTTGAGGGAGTTTGGGCACGTGAAGCGGAAAAGAGGCTATGGTGTTGTCATGTTGATCCTATCGTGTGGGTTTCCTTTGTCTGGTGCTGTTTTGTCTCTTTGTGCTTTTCTATACCCTTAGTTTGTTCTTTGAGCATTGTGTTCGTGCTTAGTGTGCCTCCTGTGTTATTCGAGTCGGAGGTCACTTGAAAACAGCCTCTATACTTTTGAGTAGAGGTGAGGTCTGTGTATACCCTCCCCAATCCCCATACCCTACTTTTGTGGAATTATACTAAGTTGTTAATGTTGTTGAGTCACTTGAGTGTCTATCCTCCCCCTCCCAACAGTGAGGGACCACTGAAGCTTCAAGGTAGATTATTCTGCCATTCATATTTGCTAAAAGAATTGTTATAAAATGGCATTTAATCTTCACAATATTTCCCACACACAAAAACAAAACTTATGTCCAACCATGGAAATGGGAAGCCAGGCATGGCAGAATGAATTACTAATTAGTATGCATGCAACTCACCTTAATACTTTGCATGTTTTCGTTAAGACTTCTAAGCTCTTCCTCGAGTTTCCTCTTCACACTCTTAGATTTTTCGTCAAGATCTTGGAAATAAGATGCATCCTTTTCAAGACTCTCTATGTCACTGACAAATGAGCCACAAAGACGTCCACTTCTACCATTCTTCATTGGAGGAAGAATTGTTTGAACAGAACCTCGAGAAAACCTACAAACAAACAAAAACTGTAATGACCTAAATACAGTGGATAAAACTCATAAACAACATAACAAGTCTTTGAGGAGGAAAGAAAAAAGTGGGGAACATAGTTTTCTATTGGTTAATTTGGTTTACATATTTGCTATAGCCTAAATCGAAGGTGATGGTTGTTCTCCATCTGTAATTAGCTTATATACATTTTAACATTGGTCTACTGCAAGAGTAAAGCATAATTCACATTAATTCATAAAAAGACAACCATATCTTCCCCACACCTAGCACATTTAAGAACACAGTATATATCATTGTTTTCATTTCGAGGCATATGATATAGGTTACCCTATGAGTATAATGATATGACAAATGCATAAATCTAACTATTCATTTTTTAGACAACTCAAAGAGAAATGTAAATGCAAGGGGCAAAACACCTGAGTATTTCTAATGTGTTGCTCTTGAGTATCATGAATTTGTTTGTCGAGCAGCTTTTGTCGTTTCTCTAATTTCTGAATGTAATTGATTTTGCGTCCATAATCTTCTTCCAAACCAAGCTTATCTTTTGTAGCCTAAGAAATAAAATCTACATATCAGATTATCATCAGCACCAAACTGAACAAGAATTGAGCAGAATGCATGAGGGAAACATGTAGTTATCCAAGATTTTAAAACACCGAACATCTCCCCTCTAATAAATTACTCCCTCGGTCCCTCAAAAAAAAATTCCCATTATGGTTTATGATGGTTGACTAAAGTTATTTTTCATTCAATTTATTTAATAATTGGTGTAAAATCAAAAAATACCTTTTATATAGTTAAGAAACTACATCAAAATGAGTACATTATATATTACCAAATGAGTAACAAAAATAGGCAAATAAAGATGATGAGTTTGCCCTGTGTATAGTAAAAGTAACTGGGAAGTTTTTAGGGACGGAGGGAGTATAGATTAAGATTTCACTTTAGATGGATCACATTGAACACTACATTCTCTGAAATACTTCCTTCCATGTAAATAGATGCAGCATTCAAATTTTTGCACTACTCGCACATTCAAATTTTAGCATCTTGTGTGATTTATACGTTAGTAATGTGGGATCATGTTAGATTCATCTTGAAAGAAACTTTAATGCTATCCTTATTTATAGTTTCAACTTAAACAAAATTGAAGATATTAATGATTTAATTTGTGCACTAGCAAACAAGAATTTTCTAATGTTACAACTATATATAAAAGGAGGAAGTACCATTTTGCAGGCAANGCTTTTGTCGTTTCTCTAATTTCTGAATGTAATTGATTTTGCGTCCATAATCTTCTTCCAAACCAAGCTTATCTTTTGTAGCCTAAGAAATAAAATCTACATATCAGATTATCATCAGCACCAAACTGAACAAGAATTGAGCAGAATGCATGAGGGAAACATGTAGTTATCCAAGATTTTAAAACACCGAACATCTCCCCTCTAATAAATTACTCCCTCGGTCCCTCAAAAAAAAATTCCCATTATGGTTTATGATGGTTGACTAAAGTTATTTTTCATTCAATTTATTTAATAATTGGTGTAAAATCAAAAAAATACCTTTTATATAGTTAAGAAACTACATCAAAATGAGTACATTATATATTACCAAATGAGTAACAAAAATAGGCAAATAAAGATGATGAGTTTGCCCTGTGTATAGTAAAAGTAACTGGGAAGTTTTTAGGGACGGAGAGAGTATAGATTAAGATTTCACTTTAGATGGATCACATTGAACATTACATTCTCTGAAATACTTCCTTCCATGTAAATAGAAGCAGCATTCAAATTTTTGCACTACTCGCACATTCAAATTTTACCATCTTGTGTGATTTATACGTTAGTAATGTGGGATCATGTTAGATTCATCTTGAAAGAAACTTTTATGCTATCCTTATTTATAGTTTCAACTTAAACAAAATTGAAGATATTAATGATTTAATTTGTGCACTAGCAAACAAGAATTTTCTAATGTTACAACTATATATAAAAGGAGGAAGTACCATTTTGCAGGCAATACACAACGTGGTTCTTAAAGGGTTCCCAAAGTTAGCCCATGACCCAACCGTCAATTGAGAACTTGCTCACTTTAACACTGACCAGGGGAAGAGAATATTATGGGGACAACTTACCAATGAAATATTGTGCTTCAGATCATCCTTCTTAGATCTAAATTCTAGTGTCTTCTCCATTAATGCTGCAATTTGTGCTTTCTTCTTGGTTATTTGTTCATTCAACTCATCAATCCTTTTCTGCCCATCAGAATGATATATCTCTTGATGTTCGAGGAAGAAATGAAGGATGTGATCAAAGAAAGAGAAGCAAAAAATATATACGCCAAAATACAAACAATGCAGCTAAGTTTAAACATTATCAACATTCTGGAGAGCAACCAACAGTTATCCCTCAGTCCAAACAAGACAGTAATTTATAAAAAGTTGAATAGTAAGTAATTCAATATACAACTCTTACCCAGCTCACCAGCAGTTGATGAGACATTGCTTTGCAAAATTCAGCCAACACAGATTTTATATATATATATATATATATATATATATCTGTGTGTGTGCGCGCGCTTGTCTCTACATAAGCATGTCTCTATATATATATGTGTGCATGTCTCTACATAAGCAAGCTAATAGAATCCAAACTCTATACTCCCTCCGTCTCATTGGATTTGAATCTTCAAATCCTTCCCACCCAAGAAGTTCAAAACAAGAATTAAGTGTATGAAAAATTATATTTACCTTGCTGCTTTGATTAAGTTGAAGCTCACGAATGTGACTACGAATACCAGAAAGTTTTTTTGCATTTTCCTCAATCTAAACTAGTATAAAATTAGTATTTATGATGTAAACACAAAGGATAGGTGCATATTATTCTATAAGATAAAAACTCACCATGATGCAAGCTAGACCTATATAAGACGAAGATGATCAAAGATGAAAAATGTTAAAAGGCCATCGCCATACCTGACAGACAACATTATTGAATTCATCTTTTGCTCTTGCAACATTTTCTTGTAAAGCATCTTCTTCAGCCCTCAATCTGCATACCATCACAAACGTAAAAGTATAATTAGTTGATTATTTTAACATTTTAATAGTAATGGTCGAGTTCGTGATTTTCGGTTCTCATTTTTTGAGAATCCATCCCGTACCATTTTAATTTTGGAACGATAGTGTTTGGGATATAATTTACTAGAACCATTTAAAAACATACTTTTCGATTTGGTATCATGTCGGTTTCATTTGGAATAATGTCGTATTCTGTATTCATATTTTTGCCCACCCCTAGGTGGTTTTGTTCCATTAATTTTGAATCAAACACCTCAAATGAGGATAGGTTTTATATATCAAACCTCCAGGAAGCTATGAGTGTTCATCCAAAACTCATACCAGATTCTGAACCAAACAGGACTTCAAAATATTAGATATTTTAAAGTTAAAGCATTAAACACACACCCACACGGCCACACACATTGTATAAGTACAAACATATCATGGTAAGCATCTAACTCACCTCGACAGAAAGGGTCTTCTTTTCGTAATTGACTATGATTTTTCCACTAATCCCCTTCTTTCCTAGGTGGCCATTAAACCTAGCAAAGTGAAATAGGAAAATTATGTTGATAACATATCTTATGTGAAACTGCATCACATGCTAAATGTTAAATACAGAAAAAATATGCTGTATAGATGGACAATAGAAGGGTAAAAGGCATACTGCCAAGTCAGCTGACGCTTCAGGAGACTTGCATTTCTTTGAAACTTACTCCNGCATGCTCATGAATCTTTAAAATAGCTACATATGCATGCAACAATGGCTCAGACCAATAAATTGCTCGGACTAGCAATTTTTTATGGAAATTATAAAAATATCAGAATACTTTCTGATTACACAGCACACAATCCAATCCATAATGATAAACAAAACACGTTGAGGTCGATCATTTCATTAAAGATTCAATTCAAGCTAGACTACATTTTTATGCATGTGCAGAGCAAACAACAAGCTGTTCATTTACAAACCAAGAGAAAACTCTGATGAAGAGAATGCATGTTGGGCATGTGGGACATGCATGCCCCAGCTTGAGGGATGATGGAAAATAATGTGATGTGTGATACTGTGAAGTGAATAACTGAAATCAAATTCCAGCTAGGGAATCTGGAAACTTTGAGGAACATGTGTTTGATTCTATGGCTAATTTGTGGACATAGGATAACCTTCTTATTTTCTTAATTAAAAGCTATTCTTTGTACATGTAAACTATCAGTTGAAAATGAATTTTTGCACTGCAAATAACCAAACTACATATAATCAAAACTAAAAGAGCAGAAAATAAGGCCATGCAGGTATTCCTCACCTAGGCACGTGCCGAAATTAATAAGAAAGTTAAAGCAACATGGAGACTTACAGAAAGCTTCTCGCGAAATGCTTTATAAGTTTGCTGCCTTTTAAATATCATACGCTCCTTGTTCTCATACAAGGTTCGCAGATCATCAATAGATTCTGAGTGTCTGTACGAAAGCAATAAGAATAAAATAGTATCTGCATTTTATTAAGTAATTAAATTAACACTTTTAGAAGAAAAAATAGACCTTCGACTCTCTTGTTGCAGTCTATTGCTCAGCCTTGTTAGTTGTGCACTGAGTTGCTCTGGCGTATTTCCTTTGCAGCCTCCTAGAGTTTCAATATCTGTCTCGGAACATATGATAGAAGCTTTTTTGTAGCTTTCCTGAAATTTTGTAAATCGGTTTTAAGGGCTTAAGAGGTAAGTAATGCAATGCAACTCTCCTGGGATCGGAGTTCCAGGAATAGTGAAATAGGATGAACAAATTGATTTCCCTCTTCTCTGCACAAAACTCAGTCACACGCTTTCACCCTTATTAATAACAATGCTGGTCAATTGATGAACCTTATTTCGGGACAGAAGGAGTACATGTTGAAAGAAAAGAAAAACTTCTTACTCCGCAATATAATAAAGGCAACTGGCTCATCACTCAGTCACCACCATAATCTAGAGAAATCTTAGCTTAAAGACTCGAGTAGAGTCTGTCATATATCCAACCTATCCGAACATTATGTCACAACTAGATCGAGCCTTGAACCCTTAAATTGAGAGATGATTGCCAACAGAAATGCAATTGCTTCTTGAAAATTTTAAAATAGGTTGTCTCCCCCCTCCCCCCCCCACCCGAACAAAACGATTGAGAATTGTTTTCATATAATTCATCAAAGATACTCATTATAATACTAATAGAGGGAACATGACACAAATCAACCTTGATCCTGTCTTAGTGAAGTCCATTGTGTTTGCCCTTTGAGTGCCTCTTGCACGGCTCCCAAATGCCAAGCATAAAGCGTTCAGTATTGCACTTTTACCACCTAAGCAATCATATATATATATAAGTAACAAGAAAAGAAAGTGGTATTCTTGGGATGAATTGAAAACAGAACAAATACTAGACAACAAGAGATTTACTGCAGAGCAATTTCTTAAGAAATAATGAATAGTTTGGTGATATGAATTGAAAACCGAACTGTCAGTGCAATAAACAACCATAAAGGCCTCGGCCATGGATCAAATTTCAAACTAGTGAATATATAGGGCAGTTTCCCTATATTGAACACAGGACGAAAAGCTGGTGCAACAATTGAGACAGCCCCCTCAAAAACAATAATTAGAAGTAAATGTTGGCCGGGTGAAATTGAGCTTTCGCAGATGTCAAAATTTCAAACAAGAACCCTTTGGATCGGCCGTAAGATATCGAGAAAAGCTTTGCTGTAAAACCTCTCTACGCGGCGAGAGAGAAGGAATGCGATCTCTGCCGTAGTTGAAGAGAGGTGACTAAGAAGAGTTTTGATGTCTGCCGGCAATGGAACACGAGCACCATGGCCGTTGAAGACGACAGAGGTCTGCTCGGCTCTCTCAAAGGCAATGTTGTTTCATTTTAAACCTAGCGTGCGTTTTTATAAAGGGCAATATGGGCCGATGCATACCCATCTGAAGCGGCCCAGTCTTAAAGTTTGGTTGTACATTTTCCCTCAGGCCCTAACATAGGGATTGTTTGAATATGAAGAGAAATACGAACAATCTATTTGACTTTCCAATATCTTCAATGCAACATTTATGACTTGTTCTTTTCACCTTATTTGAATGATTCAAATATGATTAGAATAGATTTTGATATATTTAAATTTGAATGCAGTTATATTTAAAATTATTTCTGATCTAGTCTCATATGACTTGAACTGATTCCAATAAGAAAAAATAACAAATAATAAGAATTAGTTCAAGAGAACATGCTATCAAACGATCATTCATATCATTATTTATATCGATGGGTTCTATTGACATCCACCTTTGGTGACACTAGAGGTGTCACTGTCATTTTGGAACACTTCTGGTGCTCTGTTCATAAACTGATGACTCGTTAAGGAATTGAGTGTATTCTTTTTACATAGCTTTACATTGCATCATTCCATTAACTTTTTACATAGCTTTTTAGAGCCATTTCTTGAGGAATTGAGTGTATTCTTGATCTAAATTAGCTTTCTCATATTCTACTCTTTGAGAGAGTTTTTGTTCTTGATTGGTTAAGTGTTGTAAACACTTTAAGGGAGGTTTGTTCCCTTAGTTGTAGGAAGGAAGGGTATGTTCCTTCAAGTTGAAGTCTTGGAGTGTGGCATCTCCGAGCAAGTGTATTGAGGCTCGTGGGACTCGAGCTCTCAGGTTGTAATGGTTTGTTAAGCATCTGTAAGCTTAACGGAAGTAGTGTAGCTCGAAAGAGTCTCTCGGGAGACTGGACGTAGCCACACGTTGTGGTGAACCAGTGTATATCGGTGTGTCCTTTCCTTACGCTTTTTAATTCTGTTTTTTACTTTATCCTTGCGTTTTTTTATTTGCGAAAATTCATAAACATTCTTGTGTCTCACTATTCACCCCCCCCCCTCTAGTGAAGAGCACTAATTCTAACAAGTGGTATCGGAGCCAAGGTCACGAGTTCGATTCTCAACGGGAGCAATTGCTGAGAGGGAGATTGTTGGCCATGTGTGCAGCAATTGTCCCATGGCAGAGGCTATGTGGGCCAAGTCACAGCCGAATGTTGTGGGCGCTTGTATGCTGAATGCACTATAAGGCTAGGGTATGCACCTCTTGTAACACCAATACTTTTTAGAAGAGTTGGTAGGGCCTGAGGTCCTACAACTAAAAGTTTTATGAATGACCAAAAGCTCTCCATCATCTCGTCCAACATACTCTTCTTCTTCTTTATCCCATGAAGGGTCACAAGTATCATCATTACACTCCACAAGAGTCATGACCTTCTTTTTGGGACAATCTTGAGCTACGTGACCAATTCCTTGGCAATGATAACACTTTGGAGTTCAGTTGATATTTTGATTGTGCTTAGGTTGATTTTGGATATTTGAGGGAGGGGTTGGAAGTATGGGTTTATGGTGAGAGGTGGGGCCGAGGGAGGTGGAGGGGATGAAAGAGTGGGGAGTAAAGGTGGATATGAAGAGGAGGTTCTCATTTGGGCAGCCTTGCCTTGCTTGATTTGGCTTTCAACTTTGATAGCCAACTTTGTAAGGCCGACAAGGGTGTGGTAGTCTTGCAGCTCCACAGTGTTAGCTATTTGTGTTAGATTAACGTCCCAACGCTAGAGGGGGGTGAATAGTGTTTGAAACGAAATAATGTAGGAATAAAAAAATTTAAAGGCGTAAACGCCGTAAAGTAAAGAGTAAGGACAAGGCACACCAAATTTTACCCTGGTTCACCACAACGTGTGGCTAGTCCGGCCTCCCGAGAGACTTTCTCAAGCTACACTATCAACGTTAAGCTTAACAGTGCTTAACAAACCCGTACAACATGAGAGTTTGAGTTACACAAACCTCAACGATCCTTCGAAGGAAACAACCCTTCCTTCGAACTACACAAGAGAAATGCTTTCTATTATCAAGTGTCTAAAACACTAAATCACTCAAGAACATATACTCTCTTTTAGATTGGATACTGAGTAACTAAGAACGCTCAAGAACACACCACGAACTTCACAAAAATGGCTCTCGAAATGCTATGGAAAATGTATGAATGTAATGCAATGAACAATAAGAGTTGTGAAGTATTGTGATCTGAAAAGTAGACCCAAAAACCTCATTTTATAGTAGAAAAATAGGCTCCAGCAGGTAGGAATTGATTAGGGGTGATTGGCATAATTTATGGGATTTGATTAAAATTGGATCTGCTAAAAACTAGTGTTGTATATAGCTTAGGATTGAGAAGGGATAAGGGAGGCTGAAAATATTGGAGGAGGAAGGTGTAACACCCTAATCCGTCTAGGTCTGCAGCCCCTTTCGGACTAAAGTATTTAACTTGATAATTGTAACAATTAAAAACTTTTCAAACAACTTTATTTATCACAATAATATTTTTCATAACATATACTGTACGGAGTATTCAATAATATTGCGGAAGCGAATTTAATATTGACACATCATAAATTATTTCAAACTTGTCACATCCATCCCGACAATCTCGCCCCATCTGCCGCCAGGATCACATTGGTCTTTCTATTTTACCTGCGTGTAGCAAATAAAACACACTACATGCTCAGCCGTAAAGCTGAATAAGCATATCTAATGCGTCGAACATCCATATAAACTGAATCTAAATTCATAATCAAATCATTTGATATCATGCACACAATGTTCATTTCAGAAATTCACAGTTTTGATAATGTTTAGTTCATATCAACACATTTTATTCAATTCAGATATTATTCCGACAGTGCCCTTAAATTAGTCTTAATCTAAGGCCAAATAATAACAATGCTCTTAGCTATTCTTAGTCTAAGGCCATATCATAACAATGCTCTTAGCTATTCTTAGTCTAAGGCCAGATCATAATAATGCTCTTAAAAAGGCAATTAATTATCAGACACTTAAACTATCATTAGTTTAAGGCAATCGATTTCGGACACTTAACTGTAGTCAGTTAAGGCAATCAGACACTTAAACTGTCATTAGTTTAAGGCAAATGATTTCGGACACTTAACTGTAGTCAGTTAAGGCAACAACAATATAACGATTGATCAACGTTGGATCGGGCATTCCCAAACGAGTAATCCTCTAGCTTGGTCTACGAATCCCGTTTATGCATTTTTATCTTATTCATCGAATATTCATGTTTCAAAAATGCATACTAATATGAGATCTATTCTAGAGGTCTTCTAGATAGCCCTAACATCAATTCTCTAAATGGGTATATCTTAGAGTTCTTATAGATACCCTTAACACTACAAATCATTTCATAATTATAAATGTATTCATTTTACTCATGATTCAATCATAAATACTTATTTTAATCAATAGGTTCATTACTCATAATCATCCATAATATTCATTTATCATAATCATCAATTAACATAACACTTGATAACAAATAGCGGCCTAGCTTCGAGTGATAACACCCGAACTTACCGTCATGCATCACATAACATTTTTAGTTGTTAAAAACATCATCTTTATTATGGTAAATCATTTTTATAATGATCATAGTCAATTGGTATCAAAAATAAGATTTTAGAGCTCAAAAATAGCATTTTCAGACAAATTTTCAGATCAGAACTTCGGGGGATTGATCCAAGCCTTAGGATCGATCCAGACAGTGTGTTTCAGGTACTGTTCAATCGTCTTCAACCTTCGGTCCATTTTTTGGAATTACCACTTTTAGTTACCGAACTTCAATGATACTATATAGAGATGTTCCCTAAGGTTCATAGATCATTTTGGCATTATTAATTCATAGTTTTAACATCAATTTCATTGTTTATGATTCTTGGTTCTTCAAGCATGTCAAACACAAAACTCTACCAAACGACCGTTTATGAACATAGAAACGATCTATACGAACATTCTAGTCACTAGATGTATCAACAGGCTTACCTCAAAGCTTAATGGGGGTTTTGAAGATTTTCTGGCAGAACTTCCGGTGACAATAACTCCTAGCTCCTGCGACTTCAAGCTTTCTAAGCAACACAAATGAACGTAGAAACGATCTATACGAACATTCTAGTCACTAAGTGTATCAACAGGCTTACCTCAAAGCTTAATGGGGGTTTTGAAGATTTTCTGGCAGAACTTCCGGTGACAATAACTCCTAGCTCCTGCGAGTTCAAGCTTCCTAAGCAACACAAATGAACTCTCCACTCAATAAGGAACACACTGATAGTAATTTTGGCAAGTTTGGTGAGAAAATGGGAAGAAGAGATGCCTTTATATAGGAGGAGAAGGAGGATGTTGCCAAGGTGAGCTGAGTCAGTGATGCGTAGGATTTCCTTAGTGTGCAGGACGGCGATTCCCTAATATATACACGCCGTTCTCTAATTGGGACCAATTTTGGTTTCAGTCGGGGTATACTTTTTGGTCCAACTTTCTCTGAATTGAATTTCGTTTGCACCGTTGCGATCAGATAATCGAACTCTACGCAACGATATAATTTTTATGTTTATTTGGTATACTTTTTCAGATATCATATTTTTGGGTGTTTGACTTTGACAGAGTCAAAATTGATTTAATTGACTTTTACCATAAAAGGTTCTCACATCTAATTCATATCATTTATTCTCATGATTTATTTTGATAAATCATTTTAAAGTTCACATCATAATTAATTTCTTCATTTATTCTTGATTTGGGTCTGTACTCAGGTTCCCAATCAAGACCACACAAATAATCAACATATGGGATTTATCTCTATGAGATTTATCCTAACTATGATATTGGATATCAAAACACATTTTATTTCGGCCAAAAGTCCAACAGCAATTTATTTTAATCAAAACAATTTTTTAATTAATCGAATAATTATTCATTAATAATTCTAGGGCATGTTTTAGGGCGTTACAGAAGGAGACTTATTTTGAGATGTTTTTAAGGGT